TGGATTATTAATATGAATGTGGTATTCATATTTAGAGTAATGAATCTTTGATTACTTTTGACTTTCAGTCCTTTCCAGGATCAGGCAGTGATCTGATACTTTGACAAAAGGAGCATGGTCATTTCTTCTGTGCTTTAAAATAATATATTATCTGTGTTTATTTGGAATAGATAGATAGATAGACAGATAGATAGACAGACAGGAGAAGGAGGCTCGGCTCGGCACAACATGGAGAAAATTAGGCATCCAGGCAGCTGATGATGAGTGTGCACTGTGTTTGGGTCTGTCTGAGTGTGTGTATTAGTGAGTCTGAGTGTGTGTAAGGGTCAGTCTGAGTGTGTATGGGTTAATTTGGGTCAGTTTCTGTGTGTTTGTGTGTGTGTAAGGGTCAGTGTGTATGGATCATTTTGTTTATGTAAGGGTCAGTCTGTGTGTATGGGTCATTCTGTGTGTGTAGGGGCCACTCTCTGTGTATGCATGGGCCAGTGTGTATGGGCCAGTCTGTGTTTTTGTGGGTCAATATGTGTGTGTCTCTATGAATCAGTCTCTATGTGTATGGGTTAGTCTGTGTTTGTATGGGTCAGGCTGTGTGTGTGTGTATGGGTCTGTGTTTGTCTGCATTTCTCCAAAAAGCTGCAAGTCAAAATGTTGTCTACGGAGTCCTTACATTAGGAGTATTACAGTGTCAGTGAGTATGTATATGTCTATTTTGTTCCATCTTTGTGTGTATGGGTCTGTGTGTGTGTCAGTAAGCGCTTGTGTGTATGAGTCAGTGTGTGTCACAGAATGCCTGTATGCATTGGTCAGTGTTTAGGTCAGTGTGCGCCTATATGGGTCACTGTCTGTGTGGGTTTCAGTAAGTGTGTGTGTGTTTGGATATATGGCTCAGTCTGTATGGGTTAATGAGTAGGTATATAGGAAAATGAGTGTGTCTTTATGGGTCAGTCTGTGACACTACAGCCCCTCCCAACACAAGCAAAGTCTCTACAGCTCCTATACATGTCCATGTGCACACAAACTACAGCCCCTAGCTACACATAGTACACCTCAAACAGGCTCTTCTACATACACACACTTCACCACGAACTGCTCCTTCTACACACACCAGCCCTGTCCAATTTTGTTCATTGCGATCCCACTTAAAGGGACCCCAGAGAAAAGACACCAGTAAACATAGTGCAAGTGTGTAAATTAATTTGTGGTGATGGAAATCTGGGGTGAGTTCCCACACTTTTCCCCCCAGGACTTTACCCCTGAATATATACTAAATAAAAAGAACAGGAATTTAGCAAGAAGTTCTATTATTCTATCTTAAACCTGTGATGAATATAATGTATAACAAAACCTTATGTAGACACGCTTTCGAGTGAACTTTCCTCTATCAAGTCTCATCTGATACTTTCTGTGTGTTTTCTTGTGATCTTAATGTTATTTTCTTAATCAAAATGACAATTATTCTTATTACTACTATAATTACAATTATAACACCTACATAATCTGCCATGCTGCACAATGGTATAAAGCGATATTCAATTATTTATCATTGGTCTAACATTACAGTTTAAATCTCTGTTTCTACATTTGTTTAATCATCGCCGACGTATTAGTTCTACGCTGACAAAGTACAGAGCAGTTGAAAACCAGTAGCATTTCTTTTACTTTGGCACTTTGTACACATTTGGGGCCAAAGACACCTCTCAGTTTAGAAACCAGACTCCCTTTACAGTGAGAACTGTTATCTTGTTTTCTGAGTTAGCAACTTCCATTCCAGATAATCTAAACAAGTAACTCTGGCAACACAACTGCTTGGACCATGTAATCTAATCACCAAAGCCAGTTACACTCTTCAAATAGCCTCACCAGAGAAATACACCAGGTACACAAATGCTTATTTATACAAAGCAGATGGGAGGTTGTGACCTTGTGAATCCCTATATACAAAGTGCAACTGATGTTTTTGAGTGTCAGAGGCATTTGCAGAACACTGATTAAAAAATAAGCATTTAAGTGGAACGAACTTTGTCACGAGGTGTGATAGTGAAATGGACAAGAAGTCTTAACGCTGCTATTTACTAAGATGGGAATTGTCACTAACTCATGAACTCTCACGTTATGCCACTACAGCTGAACTGAAAACATAGACGACTTGCAAATGTTTTTCTAATCTAGCAATTTTGGCCAAAAATATGAAATTCTCCTTGAATTCACTTTGAGTTTCTGGAAATCCACTCTTGAGGGAATTCGCCTGATAAGGGCATTGACTACTGAAAAGAACATCTCTTTCAAAATAGAGATGGTATATATTTAATGAAGGTTTATTGTTTTTATTATTACAAATGTAGTAGGTTTAGATTGTCAGGACTTGTTTGATAACCCAAGCATTCAATTTCAACAAATGGTGCATGGGGTGTTCAGATGACATCCTCTTCTGGTGTTTGTAACTCAAATTTGTCAAACTTAATTTTTTCCAAATGGCTCATGAACAATATTCATTTCTGCTCATGGCTCGCAAACTGTACTTCTTTTTAATCCTAATATCCCTGTGCTTCTCGCTCAATGGGTTATTGTCCTGTTAGGCCTGTTTGACCTTTTTTAATGACAGATGTTCAGTGAGTCAGGGAGACAGATGCTCACTTCAAGAGAAAGCTAATTCAAGTTGTGCCTTTTTAACGAATTCTTCATATTTTCTCCCCAATGGTACTTTTGAATTCAGTAACTTTAGGGGAGGCTTGTACTAAACACAAGATTGCAATAATGAACTTTTTGTCTAATTTTTCTTTTTTCTGTCTCTTTTTCCTTATCTTTAGTTTAACTAACAAAAATATATATATTATACCACTACCATGGTAAATAAAGAATATATTACACTATCACGATAAGCAGATAAAAATGGGGAACAGCACTTGCAATATATTGCATATTAAAAGAATACCAGATATATTTAATTTAGTTATGAAATGAGCTAAATACTCGCCATGTGATTAATTACTGATAGTGGAAAATGTAAAGAAGTAAAAAAATATTCGTCAACTTAAGGTTTTTCTATTTTTTTTAAAAAAATTTTGTAGCACACGTTTTCTTAGAAGTCTAGACAATTGCAATTTGGGAGCAATACCAGAACAAATTGCTATTTTTGGAGCAGTTACCATAGAAACTAGCAGACCTTGTCTCATAACTGCTCCAGTTTCACCTTGCTAAACATGACTCTAAATGTTCTGTCACGTCTAAATCTTGATAGCAGAAAGTATTTAACTATTCAAAATAAAATCTGCACAATATGTATGCAGCAGGTTTTACGATTTGGAGAAAAACTACTTATTCTGAAGAACATTAAAGCCACCATTTTAAGTGCAGCCATTCAAATCTGTCACTTTATAATGTTTCTCATGCTAAAGCAGGAAAGCATATCAATTAAACTAATACAACAAAACAGGCATCTATGTATGTACTTTGGAGTGACAGAAATGATGAGGCCCATCCCAATTTGCCCAAGGCTTTTTCAAACAACAAAAACATTTTCTTTACATTAGTTTCTAGGGCCTAAAACAATAATGCCACTCTCTTCTCAATTAAAATAAAATCTGATGGCTTCAGACAGCTGTTTAAGAGATGCTCTTCGTATTCCTACAAAAAGTAGCTCATGAGTTTCAGGTTTGGTCTCAGCCTCTCTGGGTTAGAGTAACTTTGTTATTCTGGTGATTGACAATATCTAAAGTTAGTTTTTTAAGGTTATCCCATTCAGTAAGCTTTTGTTTTTTTTCTCACGTGTCTCTAGAAAAGTTTTAAGTGTTGCAATTTAAGTCATTGCATGATGCATTAAAACAATGTTTCAGGCACTTTAGAGATTAATAAAGCATTAAAACCTTTCTATTATAATGATAGCCATCTGTCTATAGGATTCGATTTTCCATTTATCCACAAAATAATACAATCATTTACTGGAATACAGATAAAATATAGGCAAGAAAAGCTACAATTCGTCGTAAACAGTATTGTAATGTTGCACCTCCCCTGTGAGAGATGTTTCATTCAAATATTATTGCAACTCAAAAACATTTTTGAGAGTTTTTGAAGAACGCTTCAAAGCCATTTTATTTTGTGACAACATTGCCTCTTGACGTGGATCACAGAGGGTATTTTGTCACTAGCTAAACTTTATTGACAAACACATTTCAGTGACAGCAATAATAGACTGGGGCACAAGGTCACACAAACGTCGAGGGCCAGTATAAAAAGAGGGAACAATTGTTAGCTGAGGGTGATTTTAACTAGAAACCTGACATTTTGTTAGAATGTGCACCCAGGTTTTTGTAGTTTTATTTTTTTTATTGATTATTCATCGTGAAGTACTTTTTTTTTTTTAATCAAACTAAAACAGTACAAAATAAGGGGGCGGAGCCAAGCAATGGACCTGAATGACCGCATGCAATCGCAGCTCCATACCAAACAACCACATTGGACCTTTTAACACGGCCCAAACTCCTCGCAAACTGTACCAAATGGAACCACTAGCTACAGTTAAAGAAATGGGCCGAAAAACTAAAAAGGCCAAGCCCGGTAAACCTTGACAGAGCATAAATATCGGAGATCTATGGCAGCAGGCCCGCAACACCATGGGCACAAACATGGCCAACTACGCTGAAGACTGCTCTGACATCTCGGATGACTTTACCAGACTCCCCCACAAGCAGATACATCCCCAGTGACCACAGTGGTGATGAAAGTGGAGCTTCAGTTCACCATACAGGCTGACATGGCTCAGATCTGCAGAGACCTGCAAGGCATCACAGGCCGCCTGAGCACACTGGAAGAAAACTCCAGCCGAAACACGCAAGACACAACGCAGCTGCAACAAGCAGTACATGACCTACAACTGCAGACTCACAAAATAGACCAGCGTTTTGTGAAACTAAAAGATCAGAACATCAGCCCTGTTGCCCCCTAGACAGGCTAAACAAGCAGCCCTGGGGGTATGTTCCACCTCCCACAGCCAGCTAAAGCCCCAGCCTTCAAGCAACAAGAAACCAGACGCCATATGTGTTCGAGAGCATTCATCTCTCATTCTATGCAGATTTATCAAGGCCGACCCTGGCATGGGGCCGAACAATGAAACACTTAACAGCCCTCCTTCACTTCTACAAAATGAAATACCAATGGATCCACCACAACGACACATCATTCAAGATCCAAGATATACAAGGTGCCACAGATCTCCTGCCAACCCTGGGGCTACACCAGGACTCCATGTCCCATGCAGGACCAAGCCACACAGCCACGCTACCAACAGCACGGGACCCTACAAAAGTGACACAGTTCGTCCCCAGACATGCTGGAGCAAAAGCCTCCACAGTGGCCACTACCTGAAGAATCCAGAAAATCATATTTACCTTTTACCAGCCCTCGTGTTCCATGGACTTACCACATACAGCGAGCACACTCCTCTCTCCCTCCTCCTCCCGGGGTTATGGGGTGTATTTACAATACAGGAGTGCAACGTCTAAATGCCCACACACTAGGGAACACGCTCCCCATATGACCCAGTTTGGCAAACTGAATCACAACACTACTATTGTACTATAAGTACCTTCTACCTAAATGCTCATAGCAACGATGAACCCATTGGCTATAAAGTCATACCCCTAGGCATACTAGGCGTATGACTAAGCGCTAGCCCCCACTACCCAAAACCAAATTCCCTCAGCTTATGGCCCAGTGCCAAACTGTGTTAGACACCCTGTCTGTTCTGCTCTATCAAATGTGTTGGATGACATGCATATGTTTTTCTTCTGTAACGCTTTTTATTGAGACTATGACTTAAGTAAAAAATAAAGAATTAAAAAAAAAACAGTAAAGAACAAAAATAATATAAAGTTAAAATCATAATAAATACAAACATAAAATTATAGGGCACATAACACCAACTATTTTCTCAGTGATTATTCATCAGAGAAACTACCATGGCTAGTGGTGGTCCCTTGTAGATATGTGACGTTTGTAAGATTATGGCACTTGTACACTCTGTTCTGTGTCAATACCATATCACTCCTCCAAATATTTGTGTAATTGGATATTCCCTCCTTGCCCCCAAGTACCACCAGATCCCCTTGTGATACATGCCCCTGGCTCCATATGTCCGAAATCCATGTACAAAGTGAATTTGTATCGATTCGGTTTGCCTTAAGAGGCCTATTATTTACATCCCATATACCCTATTGCCACATTCTTGTAAATAATTAATAAAATAACATTTACTAAAAATCTCACCACAGGAGAACATTATAAAATTGATTTTTGGGAAGCACTGCACTGTTAGTTGAAAATGCATTTTCCTACGATTTATTCTGTTTGCAGGTATTACAGATCCATATTCATTTCTATATAAAATCAATAAAATTCTATATAAAATCTTGTTTGGCTGCACTTTGTCTATTTTGCATGAACGAGACCTATATCAATGAAGTCCGGGAATTGAGAGGCTATGCATCCAATGAGTTCTGAGGGCTCTTTGTTTGGCTTCAATGTGTGAGTGGCCAATTGGCACTTGAATATGCACCAGGTTTGGTTGCACAGTGTTGCACTGTGGTTGTGCCATTCTTGTCTCCTCTGGCTGGAAAAACCCTATATAATTCATCTTGGACATAAAAACCCAAGGGCAGAGTACAGAATATTTGATAGAGTCCTAACCTCAACATCTGAGGAAAGGGATTTAGGGGTGATTATTTCTGATGACTTAAAGGTAGGCAGACAATGTAATAGAGCAGCAGGAAATGCTAGCAGAATGCTTGGTTGTATAGGGAGAGGTATTAGCAGTAGAAAGAGGGAAGTGCTCATGCCATTGTACAAAACACTGGTGAGACCTCACTTGTAGTATTGTACACAGTACTGGAGACCATATCTTCAGAAGGATATTGATACCTTAGAGAGGGTTCAGAGAAAGGCTACTAAACTGGTTCATGGATTGCGGGATAAAACTTACCAGGAAAGGTTAAAGGATCTTAACATGTATAGTTTGGAGGAAAGACGAGACAGTGGGATATGCATAAGGCTATCCTAACTATAAGATAAGGCCAGGGACTAATGAAAGTATTTAGAAAATTGGGCAGACTAGATGGGCTGAATGGTTCTTATCTGCCGTCAGTCTATGTTTCTATGTTTCATCAACAATAGCCTTTCAACAAAGTGGGACTTGTGAATTCCAAGTGTATTTAAATGTTTAGTCTAAATAAGACAATTATCTGGTAACATTAACTTTAGTGTATACACTGCATGTGTTTTTTCACTCACATTCTCCTATTTTTCAGGAGAAATAAATTGTCAATGCTCTTTTAAAATAGCTCATGATAGAGAGGTCATTTACTAACCGAACACAACTAAAAAAAATATTGTAATTATAAAAAAGAATTGCAAAAATGTAGCAGTAATGAAGGTTGGGTCTAATTTGTCTTATTTGTGCATTGACAGCTAAAAATCAGCATAGTGAATATTATTGCAATTCTGTGATAAATAGCGAATAAAATACACATGGTGTACATCACAAAGGAGCAAGTTAAATTAACCTTTCCGATTCATTTTTAATATCGAGTTCAGCACATGTGCTAAGAAAAGATTTTCACGGTTATAATATTTACTAACAAGTAGCTATTTAATTAGTAATTTACTACTAGAGCCTGCTAAATTACAAAAAAAAAATTACTATTAATGCTAAACACAAAAACAGTAGTCATTTATTTATGTCCATTTTTTTCTTAATTTTTTTTTTTTAGTTCGTTACCCCAACATGTTTATTACCATCAGACAGTTTGTGAAAAAAAAACCTTAACCCACTATATCCAACCCAGAATACGTCATTGTATTTCTATATATATATATTTTTAACAATATTGATAGTGGAAATGCTCCTTTCACTCATCAGTTTAAATAAGATTTTGCATTTTTCAAGCATTTTATAATTTTATAGAAAGAAAATGATCCAAAGGGACCATAATCCAACTGTTTCCCCAATTCGATTTTACATTTCAATATATCAATATCTGCCCCGAAGCAGTGACCTTAAAATGTAAAATGAGTCCGTACATGATAAAGGTGTCACGGGATTAATAAGTGCTAAAAATCCCATCTGTTTCCACAGACCTTAAGTGACATCTGTCAAGGAAGAGTAGAGTAATGTATCTGTGTCTGATAATTTAGTAATATTATGGATTTAAACCTCACATCTGGTAAGTCTTAAACCCATTTCTAGAATTCCTATAGGAATACATTTGATTATGGGACTAGTAATTACATTTTGTAGTTTTGTAGTATTATTTTTTTAATGTTGAGCTTTCATATTGAATTTAAGTTTTCAAATAAACTTTTTTCCAGTGACACAAATAGGGAACGGATCAATTGTTGGACACTCTGCGCATCATGTGTCATTTGATTTATGGATTTATTTTAATAAAATATGCAGTAAATGCAACTCTTTATTTGTTTTTTGAAACCAAAGGGAGCTCACCCTTCAGCATTTAACGGGGGGCAGGTGCACTGCCATCTAATTCATCCAAGTGGGCTATTTAGAAATAGAAATCAGAGCCCGGTAACTTGGCTTTCTTTAGAGAGCTTTACGTTAATTAATTGTTAAATTATCCCTACACCCAAAAGCCAATGACATAGATTACAGGAGCACAGATTCTACTGTCAAGCCCACTAACTAACTATACTATCCACAAAATACTATGATTGAGATCTAAAACTTCTAATATCTGTATTTTAAATAAATATTACACATTTTTATTAAAAAAAAAAGAATGTGGTGATTATAGGTTATCTTATAGCACCAAACAAATAACACTTTGTAAAACTCTTCATATACATTATACACTGATCAACCACAACATTAAAACCACAGACAGGTGAAGTGAATAACATTGATTAATAATTGTTACAATGGCACCTGTCAAGATCTTTTCATCATACATAAAAGGCATATTTCTCTCAAATATTGTTCACAAATCTGTCTAAATCTGTGTTATCTTAATATGCCACACTTGTAAGGTGGATGGATTATCTCGGCAAAGGAGAAGTGCTCACTAACTCAGATTTAGACAGATTTGTGAACAATATTTGAGAGAAATAGGCCTTTTGTGCATACAGAAAAAGTTTTAGACTTTTGTGTTTGTACATATAAACATAGACAAAGATATACAGATACACACTGACACACATCCAGATACACAGACACAAATGCAGATACACACTGATACACTAACAGATACATAGACAGGTGCAGACATGCAGATACACTGACATACAGACAGATACACTGATTATAGGTGCACACCCTGACCCACATGCAGATACACAGGCACACACTAACACACATACAGATACACATATACACACACTGGCACACTAACAGATACATAGATACATAGGTACAGACATGCATACACACAGACAGATACACACACTAGCCCACATGCACATATACATAGACATACACACACTGACATACACTGATACACAGACACAAGATACACATCTAGACACACAGATAGGTACACAGACACATGCAGACACACAGATACATGCATAGACATGCAAGCACACATGAAAAATGTACACATTTTAGCCACTCTCTTAAAGGACCACTATAGGCACCCAGACCACTTCAGCTTAATGAAGTGGTCTGGGTGCCTGCTCCAGCTAGGTTTAACCCTTTTTTTTTTTATAAACATAGCAGTTTCAGAGAAACTGCTATGTTTATAAATGGGTTAATCCAGCCTCTAGTTGCTGTCTCATTGACACCCGCTAGAGGCGCTTCCACGCTTCTCACTGTGAAAATCACAGTGAGAAGACGCCAGCGTCCATAGGAAAGCATTGTGAATGCTTTCCTATGAGACAGGCTGAATGCGCACGCGGCTCTTGCCGTGCATGCGCATTCAGCCAAAGAGGTGGAGAGGAGGAGGAGAGCCCCCCCCCGTAAGTTTAACCCCTTCCTCCCCCTAGAGCCCGGCGGGAAGGGGACCTGGCACTATAGTGGTCCTTTACGTACATTCCTTTTGGGTGCAGGGGGGTGACTTCCATTCCAGTCTGCTGGCTGAGGGTGTTGGGAGTCTCCTGGACCACACCCCTTTTATTTTTTTAATGAACATTTTTAAAACTGTTTTCCTGTTACCCCAACATGTTGGAATCTTGTGAAGTTTATTTTAGGATTGTATGTGGACAGAAAGAAATAACTGATGGAATATTGAAGTTAATGCACAAGATAATGTCACTTTGTTGAGTTATCATTTCTGGTGCACCACAATGTTGTCAGAAAAGTACCCACACAATTCTCAACATCATCTCATAAGTATTCACTTTCTCCC